CTGTTGCTCAGTAGTCCAAAGTCCTCTTTTCTGATGAGAGCAACTTTTGCATCTCATTTGGAAACCAAGGACCCAGAGTATGAAGGAAGAATGGAGAGGCCAATCAAGCACAGTAATGCCACGGTCATTGAACCAGTTTTTGGTGTTTTGGCAAAAGTTGCTCTCATCAGACTTTGGTGGGAAGGTAACAGTGTTCTGTGTGCCTTCGGCATTTAGTCATGCCAGCCACTTGACTATAGAGACATCTTTGGACAGCGTGGCTCTTTGGCTTTTAAATAGAGAGGAGCACCACCCCCTAGAGTTGGGAACGAGTAGCACATATGTGCAAGGGGAACCTTTACCTTTTACTACATTCTTGACTGAGTCTTGTCCATTTTGAGCTATGGACATTTGCATTGTAGTCAAGATTTAGAAAAAACTCTTGCAGCAACTTATTTACACCAATGCAAAGGTCAGAGGTGGCTATTCTGACCCACTGTAATATTACGGCCTTGGGAGATGGAGCCTGGAGATGATGCTTAGAGAATGGTCGAATAAGAGGCAACATATCCCACAGGCTGAATAGAGGGTTGGGCAACATACTTAGAAGAGACCTTGTCTAATTTCTCAATCTGTAAAGGAGACAGCGAGAGATTTGTACTTTCAGACCTGCAGGATTGATGTCAGCCTTACCTGATAGACCAGAAAGAAAATATAGCAAGGTAACCTAATTCTATTTTATTCTGAAGCTACATGAACAGAATCTTGCAACTCTAAAAGTAGGACTCTTTTTGCCATCTCCTTTATAGTCCAAGAAATTCCACCACTTTACAAAATATCAGAGGGCATCAGCTAACCACGTATCTGTGCACCAAGATAAGAAAAGCCAGACACTTCAACAGTAATAATATGATAGGCAGAGTTTTCCTCTGTTATGTGTGGTGTTCTTTTCCAACAAACCAAAGTCCCGCCAGGAAAAAAAAATGTATGTAGAGATAGATGCTATCATTAATGAATCTGAGAATGGAAGCTGTTAGTGAAGAAAGAAAAACTTTCAGGCACCAATTTAGATAAATTATCCGATGCTTCATCTATCAACAGATCAATAAATAAATTTGACTAAAGGGAAATGCACTGAATTATGTACCAAAGCACAATGCAGCATTTAAAGCTAATGGCTTTGAATTATCGAGAACTTCAACCATTCATCAAAGTGCAAAGAAGCAATTATTTTGGAAATATTGTTGCTTTTTATTTATCACAAAGCCATTTCATTCCTTTTAAATATTGCTACTTTGGTTGCTTAAAGAGAGGTTTCTGAAAGGATGGAAAGTAAGGAACGCAGGGGTAAGGAGCCGATCAAGGCTAGAGTTTTGTTGTGCAGCAAAGACCAGTTTCGTAAAACAATTCTGCTTGGGAATCTAATGTATTCCTTTCTTTAGCAGCTTTCTACAAATATATGATAGATGCAGAAGCCAATAAGGCTAATTTATGTATGTGGAAGGGACGCAGTAGCTCAGTGGCTAAGACGTTGAGTTTGTTGATCGGAAGGTCAGCAGGTTGAATCCCTGGTGCAACGTAACAGAGTGAGCTCCCGTTACTTGTCCCAGCTTCTAGACGCCTCCTAGAAGTTCGAAAGCATTGTAAAAATGCAAGTAGAAAAATAGGAACCACCTTTGGTGGGAAGGTAACAGCGTTCCATGCTCCTTCGGCATTTAGTCATGCTGGTCACGTGACTACGGAGGCGTCGTCAGATAGAGCTGCTCTTCGCCTTTGAAATGGAGATGAGCATCACCCCCTAGAGCTGGGAACGACTAGCACATATGTGCGAGGGGAACTTTTACCTTTAATCATAGAACATTTTTTAATTATACACCAAAGGCATCTTCTTGATTTACATACAACTGCCTTAAAATGTGGGATACTATAATTATCCCCTGTAATGTGAAAGAAATTCATTATAATTTCCATTGTCTGCCCTTCATGAGATCTCAGATGAGGTTCTCCTGAAGACTGAGTTTCTAATTGCCAACACTCAGGAGAAATATGAAGAGTGGTCCAAGAATTTTTCTTCATGTGGAGAAAAGCAGAAGCTTTCCCCTTTTCTCCTACAAGAAGGAAAACACCTTTTCTCTGGTTAGCCAAGATAATATTCTCCATATGTATCTAATGCATGGGAGATGTCATCAGGAATGTGTGATTATAGTATTTCCTTACAGGTTTTGATAACATTTGGTCCTTAAGTTAAATCTAGAGAAAGACAAAATCAGTTCCTTGGACTAGATTCAACCTTTTCCCTGGAGCAGTCAAGAACTTTGAATATATCTTCTGAAATTTTTATTGATTATGTTCATTGAGCAAATTTTTGTTATTCACTCTTCTTCATCATCCCAGCCTCGCAAGGGCAAAGGGCCCTTGGAAGATGTAAAACCAACCAACTCAAACGTGATGAAAAAAATATGTCAGTAAGAACATTCATCCCTACAAATATAAGAATTACAATGTCAAATTAACCATTATTTTATTTGCTTCTTTATTGCAGATAACACGATGCTGGTTTTGCAGATGGCTTACAACGACTTCCTGGCATGAAGAGTAAAGCTACAAAGCACAAAACAATGGGGAAAAAATAAAAACCTACAGACAAATGAACTTGGAATAGAACAAGGGAAAAAAAGTGAATTTTCATGGCGTCGAAGAATTCTTTATTTTTCCTCAAGTTTTCTTTTCTTAAAAAATAAACAAAAATAAACAAAAGGAACTAAGACAGTCACAGGAACCATTTCTCTTCAGGTGACAGTACTCAAGCATGTTCTTTTATTACATTTAAATTGGGAAAAAGAAAAGAAAAAGAAAAACTGAATGAACATAGTGCTGAGTGAACTGGGCCAATAGTGATGGTATTTGCTGTACATCAAACTTTCCTTAAAATTCTCAACCTTTAATCCCTCTGGTTATTTACACCCTACGTGTTTGTAAAGAAACGAGTTCACCCTGCAGTATTTAGAGAATGGTTTGCAAATGTATCTTTTAATATCATATTTTATGGATATTGTACTATATATATTTAACTAGAATGGGTGTAACCACCTTGAAGATTGAGAATCTTCTCCTTTTAGGCAAAGTGGTTTTCATTTGCTATCAAGAAGACTTTTCGATTATTTAATACTTGGGATTGTTTTACTGAACATTTAAGTGCAGAAAGCAAAACTAGCCATGCACTATTCTCCTTAGAGAGGAGAATCCAAATAACAAACTGAAATTCCTAGGGGATTATTTTGAGTCTTATGTGTGTTTCATTTTTCCAAACAGAGTATAGAAATCAAACTTCTCCAAGGGCCAATTCAACTCATTGCTGAAAAGTAATTTTTGTTTTAGTCCTGCTACCAAACATCCATTATAGCAGGGAGCAGGGATGTGTGTGTACCTGTTTTAAAACATACAGTCAGGCACTTCACAGTTTATTTTCCTAACTGTGCACTGAAAACAAACAAAAAAGGAAAGCACAGGGGAGTGGCATTATGCTTACAAAATTGTAATGTGCAATTCAGCTTCCGTTTCCACCCCCCCCCCCAAAAAAATGCTTATTCTCCGACTTTTTCTAGCCTCCGTTGGATATTTCCTTCTCTATCTTTTTTAAAAAAAATCAGTTCAGACTGTAATCAAAGCTAAGAGAATGAAGCCTATCTCTATCTTTTAACAAAAGAAAAATAGTTCAGACACTAATCATAGGAAGCAAAGCTGAGAGAATTAAGCCCAGCAAAATTATGGTCTCCATTCGTATTTCCCTCCCGTCTGTTTTTCTGTTGGTCATGATTGCTACCATTTCATTTAACGCTAACTAATCTGCAGCTCTAACCTTCTAGATGATAGGATTGGAAGCGTTCCAATATAGGCACATTTCTTTCGCTCCACCTCCCCAACCCCACCCAGCCCCCCCCTCCATCTCTCTCTGTACTCTGCATGTGCTGGTCTTTCATTTCCTTACTTGCCCTGCCTGCCAACTCTTTCCTGGATCAGCTTCTCGCTGAGGTCCCACAAGGCAGCCGCATCCATTCCGTTCTGCGCCTGTTGCGATGGCACACAGCGACAGCAGTTGTTGAAATACATGCCTCCCAGACCTTCCAGTTCTGCTGCGACAGCACAGTAGACGGTGGTGGCCGCTCCTTGTTGCTGTAATTAAAACAAAACAACGACAAAAGAGGAGTGAGGGGACATGTAGTGAACGCAAAGGTTAGAACCAGGCAGGCTCGACAAAGCCTGTGTTCTCATCAAGGGCAGATTATCAGCTTGGCCTGGATTCAGAGTAAGTCCAGAAGGGCCTTGCCCTGTGCCATCCATCTTACAATTAGTGGTGTCTAGTTAAGTGTGAGTGAATCCATCTTTTCTTAGATGAGTAAGGATGCTCCTTTAAGTAGCAGCTCAATAAACGTAGCTGGATAATCACATGAATTCTAGCCTTCCCCCCCCCCCCAATCAATCTCACAAAGTGTTTTTTCCAGGAAGAACATGATTTAGAAGGGAAGGGTAAGCAGCTGAATCCAGCCTAGGGACACGAAAGTTGATCGTCTGTTCCTATGAGCGACACACAGGTTTTTTGTTAGCATTCGAGGGTAAAAGTGAATGTAATCCGAACAGCTTTGAAGAGGTGTAGAAATGATTTTATCTAGCCTTCCCCCCCCCCCCCAATCAATCTCCAACCCCTCTCCGGTTAGGGGTTGTTTTCATTCGACTTGTGAACTGAAGCTTGAAGAAGTTTGCAAGTTCTTTTTAACTTGCCAAGTTATACTCTGACCAAAAAGGGGATAGAGAAAACAACAAATAAGAACCTCTATGGCTGTCCTTTGCGACAATGCACAATAGGAATAGATCTCCAGGTACAGATTGTGAAGTACATAGACATTGAAGTGACATAATTCCAGAAGATGCACAGCCTGTGTTTCATGCAGAGTCACCAGCAAAGGTCTTTCTTGCTTCACCCCCCATGAATAAGCAGTGCTGAAATGAAAGATCTCACTAAGATCTATGAACATGCTTCTTGCAAGATCTCCCAACAGTTTTTGGTGGGGGAGAAGAGTGTCTGTGTGTGTGTGGGGGGGACTACATCAGCAATTCCATGACAGCAACTGGGGCTAGGAGAAGATACCAACGCCTGTCCTAAGAAAGAAGGAAATAGGCCACCATGCTTCTAAAAGGGTTGGATTCTTATGACTTGGCCGAAGTAACCACTTAGATTGGATGAAGGGATCCATCCTGTCAAATGTTGCCTCAAATATTTTTACATTCAAAAGAATGTTCAAGTCTTTAACTTTAATAGGACAATTCATTTGGAGAATATCCTTTGGGATTTCAGACCCTGTTTGGCTAAGTGTGTAACTGATTGCTCTCTGATTTTTTTAAAATTCCAAATAAACTTAGAGATGTCCACCATGTCATCGACACAGAACGCAATTGGAAATGTTGCATAAATTGTCTATGTCAGGGGTCTCCAACCTTGGCAACTTTAAGCCTGGAGGATTTCAACTCCCAGTTGGCTGGGGAATTCTGGGAGTTGAAGTCCTCCAGGCTTAAAGTTGCCAAGGTTGGAGATCCCTGGTCTACGTGCATGCGCACACACACACATATAAATTGCTAATGAAGTCTTAGTTGATGAAAAATGACCTCTCCTAATGATGTGATGGCACTCGTTTAAAGATCTAACTTGTTAGCAAAGAGCTAAAATGGACTTTTGGGCTTTAATATATGGACTTAAAACTAGTTCTGGAGGTCTCTGTTACGGCACAGCGGGAAAAGATTATTAAATTAGAGTGGAGTTGAAATTGTCTGAATTTGGGGGAAAGGATGGAGATTTGCTTTGTGATCTATTTAAAGATGTGGCTACTTATATTCCAGTAAGAAGTTTCAAATCTAGAATCTGGCAACTTATTATTTTCAGTGAAAGAAGCTTCCCCCCACTCCTTCTTCCCTTATCTGGAAATGTGTTTTTTTTTTCCCTAAGAGGAGAAACAAGAGAGTTTGGTTAAACTATCTAGTACTATTTTTGTGAAAATATGACATAAATTACTCATAGCCCAATACAGAAACTTTCTTTTTTAGTTAATCTTTCAGCAGGTTTGAATAATGTTATACCATAAATATCTTACATTATGGGTCAATACAAAGAATAGTTGTCATTTCTAATGTGATTTCTATTATTTCTTTCCCTAAGGGTAGAAGAAAGGTAATACTAACTATGCAAAATATTAATTTTTCCTCTCCTGCCAAACTACATATTTGAATTTCTGAAAAGTCTGAGTCCAATTATAGGAGCGAAGTTACTTATCTGTTATTTATGCTAGTGTGAATATAGTTAATATATAGGGGGGAGTAGGGATACAAAATAAAAACAAATATTATATATAATATTATTACTCATAACAATGCCAACAGAAGGAGGAGAAGAAAAGACGGTTGTGAATTAATTGTATGCTTTAAACACCCTTTCTCATTACATACATCACTTATTGCTCAGGCTATGACCCAACTAAATTGAATGTTTGTCAAATAATCACAGGCATTTTAATTAGTGCTGTCACTGAATTAAAGGAATTTGAGTTGTGTAATTGGATGAGGTTTAGTCAATTGGCTGCCTTTGTGTAAATTTGCATAACCTAATTTGTGCATGTGTCTACTTACATAAGACCAACAGAACTGAAGGGAGTCTTTTTTTTTTTTTTTGCTTGAGTTTTTTCCGAGAACATGATCTGTTCAGACTTGCTTTGTTTGAATTTGAATTTTGAATTTCCTTTATTTGTATGCCACCCTTTTCCCTGGGGGGACTCAGGGCGGCTCACAGTTCAAAAAGGGAGGGGGGGAAAGACAAACAGTATTCCAATATGGAAACAATACAACATATTAAAAGAGAGCACAACAGTCACACAATTCGGGTGGGGTTGAAATCTTAACCCCAGGCCAGCCGGGACAGCCAGATCTTTAAAGCGGCGCGGAAGGATTGAAGGGTGGTGAGGGTCCGAATCTCCATGGGGAGTTCGTTCCAGAGGGTCGGAGCAGCCACTGAGAAGGCTCTCCTCCGGGTAGTTGCCAGTTTGCACTGGCTAGTAGATGGAATTCAGAGGAGGCCTAATCGATGTGATCGTATCGGTCTAGTGGAGGTAATTGGCAGTAGTTGGTGGAATGAGTTGATCCTACTTCCACCGAGGAGCTAAAGCTTTCAATTTCTATATCAGGGTTCTAACTCTGTTGCATAAGTGGAAGCAGCTGGAAATTGGCAAAGTCCACTTTGAAGAGCAAAGGGGCATTCCTTTTCACAAACAAATCCAATTAAACATTGGCATTTTGTTATAAAAAAAAACAACTTGCTTGGAAGGTCTACAGGCTTGATTTGAATGTTAGTTTTGATATGTTCAATTTGCTGGTTACATTCATGAATAGTGCAGCAATTCATGAGAAGTAGTAGAATACAGAAGATGTAAATTTGTTTTGATCGTGCTGCTTTACCTACAATCAAGTTTGAACGGCCATAGGTGATCCCTCTAGGTGATAAAAAGCCCATCCTCTACTCCCCTACTGGTTCTCTCAAGAAAATCTAATCTAGTAAATATTACTGTTAATGTTCTGTTAATAAAGACAGATTTCTTTATTGGCCAAGTGTGATTGGACACACACAAGGAATTTGTCTTCGGTGCATAAGCTCTGTTAATGTTAATAATGCTACTTTAGGAAAATGGCAAGACATTTAAAATTGTGATTTGTAAGCCAGAATGCCAGCATGGTCACTTAAGGAAGGACACTGGTTAGAACAATAAGACCCAGCAGGATAAGGGCCAGCTCTAGAAAGGGCCATATTCTATGTTCCATGTCCGAATATCTTGCAAGATGGATAAGATATTGGTTGGTTAAAATGCATAAATTGAGAAGAGACAGAGAAGAATGGTCTTTCTTCTTCCTTACCATCTTTCTAGTTCATCAGTAGGGATCAATGAATGGCCATCCTCCATATTGCTGATACAAGATAGGTTCATTGTTGGTGCAATGCCTGTACCAGGAACTTTGTATCACATCAGTACTCCCCTTTTAAACAGCTTCATTAAACACTTCTCAGGTAATGATTGTGTGACTTGTTACAAATGGTCCGTGAGGATTTATTGTGAATTTTTTTTAAAGTGAAAAATTCTGTAAGTGTTTTGGCAAACTAAATAGCTTTCGTATCACTTCTTTTCAAACAATCAAAAGGTTGCCTGTTCCATATGGCATTAATGATTTAGGAAGCGCCCCCCCCTTGTATTAACCTCTGACAAAAGCTGGTATGTGTACGTGTCAGGGATGGATTCCTACTGGCATTGGTACTAGTTTGCTTCACAGAACAATTCCCTGTAAATAGTTCTTTGCATGTGCGAAGAACATGAAAAACTGCTGAAAAACATGCCAGCAACAGCAGTAGAGACCTGGGAACTGGTTCAGGGGCGTGGCCAGCTTGGGAGGCTGCTGGGTCTATGACCCAGGCCAAATTACCACTACCGGTTCACCTGGTAGAAACCCACCTCTGGTATGTGTGGAAAGCCAAACGCATAAGCTAAAATATTTTCGAAGCCCTACTGAATATTTCACCATCTTGAAAGAGCGTTTCCAATTCAGTCAAAGCTTTAAGAGCTGTTAGACTGGAGCACTCAATTGCAATCTTAATTGGGAAGGAGATGATATTCAAGGATTAATGTAAATTAACTTTCAGAGTTGTTGCTGCTTTGTTGCTTTCTAGATTGCAGAGGATTAGGTGAGGGAGCTTTTTCAGTCCAAAAGATATACAGGTAGTCCTCGACTTACAACAGTCATCACAACCCCATGGACAATGTTCCTCCAGACCTTCCTGTACTCTACCATCCTCTGGAGTCAATTTAAGCTCACACCAACTGCTTCAGTGACTCCATCCATCCACCTCATTCTCTGTTGTCCCCTTTTTCTTTTGAGCTCAATCTTTCCCAGCATTCGGCTCTTCTCCAGTAAGTCCTTCCTTCTCATTAGGTGGCCAAAGTGTTTAAGTTTCCTCTTCAGGTTCTGGCCTTCTAAAGAGCAAAAACTAAAGAGTTTTTGAAAGGTATGGGAGCCTCATTCTGTGTAGAATATTAGTAGCTGGTTACTACTGCATAGGCATTTTGGGTGAGGTGGATAATTGCAAT